CAAACAAAGCCACCAACCAGATGTACATCTCCACCCAAATACCACATTACTGTGCAGTGTATGAATGCCAGGAAGATCCATTCTCCTGAAGGATACTATCACTTAATGAAGAACCAAGATAAGTAATAGCTCAGCCTTCATTTATTAAGGAATAATACAGACACAAATGGTTCTGTAGGCGCGTCACTGATGGGTAGATGGGTAAAGAGACAGGTAAGCAGCAGTGTTTACACACACACAGACTGCAACCCTACACACAACATAAACCCACATTGTCTTCTGATCTCTTCTGGAGAGTGGCCCAATCCACAGCACTTGGAGCAGCAATGCTTACCGAGATGTCCTGAAAACGTAGTGCACAGAACCGATCCAGCTACTCAGCCCCAAAAAACATCACCACAATTACGAAAACTTCCTTCGCATAAATATTTGTTAAAGAAAAAATTAACAAGGACAACACGTGGAAAACTATTTTAGCATCACTTTCCTCATAGAAACAACCTTAAAAAAGTTCAAGCATTGAAAATGAAAAGCACAAACTCTGTCAACTCAGAGGGGAGCTATATTACAGCATTCTAACCGAGAATGTAAAGAACCATAACACAACAGCAGCTCGTACATGCTTTCACCACAGAGTTCTCCTAAACAAAATTCTCATACAACTCGACTCCTATTTACTTTAATGGCAGTACAATTAACTGCACGTTGTGGAACACATACACAGCTTGTCATTGATAATGAATTACTTGAGTACATTATGGAATCCTCTTTAGGACACCAAAATCATTTTTGAGGTTGTAGTGAAGCAATACAAATATTTCAAATAATACTCCACCTTCCTGCATCGTTCATCACGAGCGCCCACCCCGTGCAGCAGCAGGGCCCATTTTCCCCAATCTTCCCTTTGCTACTGATGCATTTGAAGCAGCCCTTCCTGCAGGCATTGACATTCCTTGCCAGGTTTAACACCCAATGAGCCTTAGCTCATACCAACCCTCCCAGAGAGGGAGAATCTTCCTTTCTCCTTGCCTTCAAACACCCTCCCTATTACTAAAGCTTTGCAAGCTGACCCAAGCACCTAGAAAACAAATAAAGGACCACTGGATCACTGGCTAGATCTACAAATGACTGCATGGTTACTAAGTATACTCTCAGGGAGGGACATTTCCACTTAGATACAAAATCTACTTTTGCTAAAGCAATCAACTAATCCTAGGGTGAAAACAACGTCCATGAAAGTATGATCTAAAGACTATTTTGCCAAGTCAAAAAATACAGAAGCTCTGTTATATATTAACAGGAACAAGAAATAAACCACCACTGAACAGCAGCATTTCGAAGCAAAGACTTCTCATAGTTATGTACTGAAAGTTGCTCATCAAACAGCAGTATCACGTAAATTAGGCTCCATCAGTCTCTCAACAACACAAGAGCACCCAAACTTTTAAGAGGTGTGGGGTGTAGATGTTATGAGTTTGGACTCCAGACTGTGACTGTCCCTAACCACATGTCCTTCTCTCCCAGAATGACCTCTGGCAATGTCTTCTCATCCATTCATACTGATTCATTTCCACACAAGCTGTTGAGAACAAACTCTTTCATCTACTTGCCTTGGTTATTTGCGTATGGCAACAGAAGGAACAAACAAGCAGAACAGAAGTGGAAACTTCTTGATGCTGTGCTGTTAGACTGGGACTAAGCAGCACCAGCAACACTCCGAACATCCATTGACAGGACTACAAAGATAAAGCAATTTGAATTCACTCTACCACGTGACTCTAAATGTAGGACAGAACGTTTGTGCTGTGCAACCACGATATTTCACTTACAAATACAAGGTTTTCAAATACAGCTTTAAGTCCAACAAAGAATCACTTCAGGGATGACTCTTAATTCAGCAGTGCTCTTTCCCTGCCAAGCTACTTAATGTGCAAGGCTTCTCCTTCATCCTCCACAGTTGCACCCTTTCAGTTTTCACCTGCTGCTGGTTCTGGTGCTCATCAAAACCCTCCTAGGGGGCCAATTCAATTCGTTAATGCAGCTGAAAATTCAGCCTCACTACAGGCAGGAGACAAAGCTCTTTTTGGGTTAGTGAATGAATTATCGTAGCTCTTCTTGAGCAGATTCAAAGTCCAAGACCACACAGAGTACAGTTACACACCTGTGAGCAAAGGAAGGCAAATTTTTCCTCCCTCTTTAGGTAGCAACAAGATTTTAGAGCAACTGAGGTTTAGAGGAGCTTTCCTCCAAACCCACTGTTGCAGGAAATGTAACATAGGTACGAGCAGGAACCTACTTACCAGGTTTGGCTGCTGGAGAACTCTGATTTAACTACAGTGCTCTTTAAGCTGCTTTATCTTTAGCCAGACTGAATAACCACTGGATGGATAACCACTACATAGCTAACTTCAGGTCTGTTCTCTGCTACTTACAAGTACTCATGCCCCTGCATGGCAAACTGCTTCAGGAAATTGACTTGGAGGAAAAATTACTGAAGGAAGATGGGGAGGTAGAGAAGAGGACACGTCCTTGGTATTGGCTTCCTGTTCCAGCCCAGCATACACTCACATAAACAGTGGCAACTTCTGTTTGTGCCAGTTCAGCCTGAAAACATTCACAGCCAGACATGACAACTATTTAAGACCACAGTGCTACCAAATAGCCATTAAGTTTCCTTAGCATGCCATTTGATGCTCTCACAATTTTCATTCAATGGGAGCTTAAAGTAATCATGCCAGGACTGCAGCGGTTCCACTCTTTGCCTTCTATTTTATGTCTTGATATCTTTATAACACCAGCACTGGCACAGACCAGGAGAAAGGGGAGGTTTAGGTTGGATGTCAGGAAAAACTTATTTTACTAAAAGAGTTGATAAACACTGGAATAGGTTCCCCAGGGAGGTGATTGAGTCACCATCCCTGGACGTGTTTAAAAACCATTTGGATGTGGTGCTCAGGGACACAATTTAGCAGAGGGTTGTTAGGGTAGCATGGTTAGGTTGTGTTTGGACTCCATGATCTTTAAGGTCTTTTCCAACCTAAGCAACTTCACGATTCTATGACTCAGTGATTTCCTTTACTTTGCTCCAGACTCCACTTGCAGCCAGCTCACTGCTCAGCCCTGTGAGCACCGTTACAGCCAGAACACGGAGGTGGGGACAGCAAAATACCTGCAGCGCTTTCAGCTTAGATCAGCTTTCAGGATATGTTTACTCAGATGGATGCAAACAGTTGCCAACTCCTCTACCTACACCCTAACTTGCTGGACACAAGCCAGCCGCAATGGAGATGATATAACTGAGCCTAATTGCACGCCCAGACCAAAATACCTCACCTGTAGGATACTCTCTGACTACTTCAGCTCCTCTAAGCCTTAATATATTCCTTCAGCCTTGTTTCTTTATTACACAGTGGAACCTCCTTGATTCTAAGGCACTGATTAGCCATGATTCCATCCCCAAGGTGCCACCACCAGCACCACGCACGTGGTGCACTTACTGCTGCCAAAGACAGAACGCTAACCTGCTGGGCACATTGTTGTTCCCTATTTCAAGCCTCACCACTCCAGGAAATGCTGAAAATAGCACACCCAGCGTCCTCCTCACCCAGCTCACCCATCCCACAGCCCTTATTACCACCACCCCACTCCATCTCCTCCCCAGAACGCTCCTCTATGCCCTTCACTCTCACACCTCTCAGCCCACAGAGCCCACCGTGACACCCCCACCCTTCCCAAACACCTCCTCCTCCTCCTCCCCCCCCCTTCCCTCATAACCCACCCCTAAGCCGACCACCACCCACCAGGTACAGAGTGCCGTAGATGCGGAGGGATTCGGCCAGCGCACTCTGCGTGACATGCAGGACGGCGACGGAGCAGCGCGGGTGCCAGGTGTGCCCGATCTCGTAGCAGCTGTGGGGGATGGACTTGCTCAGCGCCGCCATCTTGCCGCGCGCGAGAGGATGAAGGGAGGTGGGGGGGGAGACGGCGAGCGCGCGCGCGCGCGCCCGCCGCGTCACCGCCGATGCGGGAGAAAGGTCGCGCGGGGCGCTACCGGCGGCGGGGTTACTCGCGGGCAACTGCGGCCGCTTCCACCCCCCCTCCCAGCCGGGCTCGCGTGAGGCCCGCAGCCAATCCGCGGCGCCGGGGGGCGGGGGTAGGGCTGGAGGCTGCTGAGCGTGGAGGCGGGTTGGGAAGCGATGGCGGCGGGGCGAGGGGAGTTAGTGAGCTAAGGAGGGAGATCGCAAACTCTGGGGATGGGTTAAGAATTGATTTATTGATGGGGGAGGGGGAGTTTAAATGGATGTTGGGGTGGGGAACTGTAAATAGGTGAAAGCTTGCAAACCACCGTGGAGATGGAGTTGCTGCAAAACGGTGGAAGGTGGCAAACTGGGGAGGGGGAACTGGAAATAGATGGGCGTTGCGAATAAGGATAGATAGGGGATATCGCAAACCGATGGGGGCGTTGCAAACCGATGAGGGGTTGTAAATAATGGGATAGAAGGATTGCAGACTGAGGAGGAGAATTGCAGATAGATGGGGGAGTAGCAAATCGGGAGGGGGGGGGGAGGCATTGCAAACCGATGGGGAGTTGCACAATGGGGAAGGGGAATCGCAAAGAGATGGAGGGGTTGCAAATAAGGAGGGGGTTGGAATCAAGTGGAAGGGGCTGCAAACTGGAAAGGTGGATGGCAAAGCTAAGGAGGGGGAGTTGCAAATCAGGGGTGTTTGTGCAGTGCTGGGAGTGCTGGGAGGAGTCTCACTGATGGGAGCATCTGCACCTGAGTGCATCAGTGTCTGGGAAAGCGAATGGGGAGGGAGGGGGAACATCTGGGATCTGGAGTTGCTTAAAGCTTCGGGGTCACAGAATCACAGTATGGCCTGGGTTGGAAGGGACTTCAAGGATCATGAATCTCCAACCCCCCTGTCACATGCAGGGCAACCAACCTCCACATTTAATGCTAGACCAGGCTGCCCAGGGCCCCATCCAACCTGGCCTTGAACACCTCTAGGGATGGATGGGGCACCCACAACCTCTCTGTGCAGCTGTTCCAGCACCTCACCACGCTCTGTAAAGAACTTCCCCCTGACATCCAACCTAAATCTCTCCTCCCTCAACTTAAAACCATTTCCCCTCATCCTGCAGTTATCAACCCTTTCAAAGAGTTGATTCCCCTCCCCTCTGTAGACTCCCTTTAAGTACTGAAGTGCTGCAGTGCGGTCACCCCGCAGCCTTGTAAGTTGGGCTACGGAATCCTGGAGGGCAGGGGTGGTTCTGCAGCCAGGTCAGCTGCAGCCCTGGCACGTGGCCCAGCTTGCAGTGCTGGCTGTTTGTGTGCCCAACGTGCTGGGATGTCCTGTGGTGTCTGTGAAGTTTGTGAACAGTCCGTGCTGGGTACAGGGTGTACAGTGGCTGAGTGAGGAGTTGTGTGAAGCTTGGCTGGCAGATATGGCCTAGTAGGGCCTGATCATAGAACCTGCAGCCAGATCATAGAACCATATAATATCCCAAGATGGGAATGGGCCCACAAGGATCACTGAGTGCAACTCCTGGATCCACATAGGACCATCCAAACCAAACCCAATGTCTGAGAGCACTGTCCCAACACTCCCTGAGCTCCGGCAGCTCGGGGCCGTGCCCACTGCCCAGGCAGGCTATTCCAGGCTGTTCCATGCCCACCGCCCTCTGGTGCAGCCCCTTTCCCCACCTCCTGTCACAGCTCCATGCTGTTCCCTCAGACCCTGTCGCTGTCACACAGAGCAGAGCTCAGCGCTGTCCTCCACTCCCTGTGAGGAGCTGCAGCCACCATCAGGCCTCCCCTCAGCCTGCTCTGCTCTGGGCTGAGCACATCAGGGATCTCCACTGCTCCTCATTTCACCCTAACGTTTTACACTCCTCCCAGGAAGCCTCCTATTGATGCAAGACCATGCATTTCCAGCAGGTTGTTCCAAAAGTAATGCTTCATATTTAATTCCTTGGAAACTTGCATCCACGAGTTTCGAAGAGCGCAGTAACACTGTTCGATAGAGCAAATTTTCAGCTACAGAACACTGTTTTTCAATATAGTCACCACCATTAGCTGTGCATTTTCACCAGTGAAACTGAATCACCACCTTCACCTTGCTGGTCACACTTCTCTTGATGCAACCCAGGATATAGTTGACCTTCTGGGCTGCAAGTGCACATTGTAGGCTCATGTTGAATCTTTCAATTGACACTCCTAAATCCTTCTCCTCAGGGCTGCTCTCAAGCCATTCTCCACCCAACCTGTACCTGTTCTTCAGATTGCTCCAACCCAGGTTCAAGACCTTGCACTTGGCCTGTCTGAACTTCATGAGGTTGGCATGGGCTCAGCTCTCCAGCCTGTCCAGGTTCCTCTGGATAGCATTCCTTCCCTCTAGCATGTCATCTGCACCACTCAGCTTGGTGTCATCTGCAAACTTGATGAGGGTGCACTTGATCCCACTGTCCATGCTGCCTACAAAGGTGTTAAAAAACACTGGTCCCAGTACTGATCTCTGTGGAACACCACTCATCACCGGTCTCCACTTGGACACTGAGCCACTGACGGTAACTCTCTAAGTGTGACCATCCAGCTAACTCCATATCCAGTGAGTGGTCCATCCATCAAATCCATTTTTCTCCAACAGGGCGACCAGGATGTTATGTGGGACAGTGTCAAACACTTTGCACATGTCCAGGTAGATGGTGTCATGCTGTAACTCCATCATAAAAGGCCACCAAGCTTGTCAAGTATTACTTGCCCTTGGTGAAGCCATGTTGGTTACTACTGATCACCTCATTTTTATTTTCCATATGCTTTAGTAGGGCTTTCAGGAGGATCTGCTCCATGATCTTGCCAAGCACAGAGGTGACACTCTCTGTCCTGTAGTTCCCTGGATCTTCTTTTTTTCCCTTCTTGAAAATGGGGGTTAAGTTTCCCCTTTTTCAGTCAGCGGAAACCAGACTGCCATGACCTTTCAAATATGATGGAAAGAGGCTTGGCAATTTCATCCTCCAGTTCCCTTGTGGAGGGATTCAGTTCCACACCTTTGCTTCATATGCCCTTCCATGTAAGACACCATTTTGTCAGACTGCCCCGCTGCTGCCATCTGTCACACAGCAACAAAACATAACAGAATACTGGTGGGAATGTTCAACCTCTACTGCCATCCCACTAACATTCTCCTCTGACATCGTCCGCCAACACAGTAAAATAGGAGATGTTTCTTTCAGAGCAGACCTTGGAGCAGCGCTGCAGATCTCGTGGTTCAGTGACCCAGTGCATCACTTCTTGCTTCTGCAGTGCTCTGATTAAAGAACTGTTTGCAGGCAGAAATGGCAGTTGTTGCCTAATATATGGATTTGCCCAGCTCAGCTTAGGAAAACACCTCCTGATAAAGGAAAACCCATCCTCATTCACATGTGCAGCAGCTCTGCTTGGACCTGAGCAGGAGGTTTGGGATCTCTGCCAACTCTGGCTGTGCACTAACGAAGAAGGCACCACAGCACTGACTTTGCTCCAGGCTCTGTTCCATTGGGTTGCAGTCCTCTATTCTGGGAAGCCCTAGGGGTGAAGTAGCATGGGAAAAGCCTAACAGCCCATTCCAGGCTGGGCTGTCCTGGGAGCTCAGCCTTAGTTGGAACAGGGACAGCAGCATCTTGGAAAGGAAGAGACTCACTTCAGAAAGCATTGTGGATCTTTACTTTTACCTCCTTATGTTCCTGGGGCTTTCAGGAGCTCTCCTGGCCATACAAACAAGGCTGCATCCTGGGAGTACCAGGCTGTATCAATAAAGCTAATAAATGCATGCCAGGGATTGGTCCCTTGGTGTGAAGCTGGGTGATGTGGCTCAGGACTTGCCTTGTAATAAACATCTGGGTGTCCTGGAGAGTGTTTTTCTGAGTAGTTCTAAAACCAAAGGCAGAGTGTAAGCTAATTGCTAAGCAGCATAAGTGACGGGGGAACTGAGTGTTCTGAGTGCTCAGCTTACTCCAGGTCCTCACTAATTCAGCAATGTCAGATATACCAGGACATCAAGATTGAAGTTTACACAGTCAAAAATGTCAGATGCATGTAAGCCTCATTAAAGGACAGCTATGATATCCCAGTTTCTACGATAACCCAGACAGGTGAGCGATGTAGCAGCATCCCACTGCCCTGCACTCTTCTAGCTGAATACATCCATTTGCAGCTGAGCTGACAGAATGCAACTTTCAAACATTAGCTGGGTCAGACTCCCACTTATGTCTCAGGCTTTGGCATGACCCCCTTCTTATTGGACAGCACTACAGCTCTACAGCTCACCTGTACTGATGCTAACTGGCATACAGATGTCTCAGGTGGCAATGGCTGCATGCAGAAAAGCACTGTCCACCTTTCCAGGTTTCTGAGGGTCTCACTGTCTGATAACATTATCTACTAATATCTTCAGTGTCTAACAAATCTGCTATCTGCAAGGGAAATTAGAGATCTCAGCCCACAGCAGTAGATGGAGGTGTGAAGAATTCTGCTTGCCCTCACAGTGAGTCACCATAGAATCATAGAATTGTTTGAGCTGGAAGAGACTCTTCAAGATCATCTGGTCCAACTCTCCTGCAATGAACAGGGACACCTACAGCTCAATCAGGTGTTCATAGGCCCATCCAAATGACCTTGACTGTCTCCAGGGACAGGGCATCCACCACCTTTATGGGCAACCTGTGCCAGTGCTTCGCTACCTTATTGGAAAAAACTTCTTCCTTATATCCAACCTACAACTCCCCTCTTTAATTTGAAGCTATTTCCCTTTGTCCTATCCAACAGACCCTGCTACAGAGTCTTTCTTCTTTCTCACAGCCCCCATTTAGATACTGTAAGGCTGCTCTCCATTCTCCCTGCAGCCTGCTTTTCTCCAGGATGAATAGCCCCAGCTCTCTCAGCCTGTACATGTAGGAGAGGTGTTCCAGCCCTTGGATCATTTTGATGTACTCCAAAAGCTCCATGTCTCTCCTGTACTGAGGACTCCACTAATCTGGACACAGTGCTCCAAGTGAGGTCTCATAGAGCAGAGCAGAGGGGCAGGAACACCACCCTTGCCCTGCTGGTCAGTCTTAGGAGGTGGTCTGGATCAGAACTTATTACAGATAGGTAATCAGCCAAAAAAAAAAAAAAAGGAACCAAAGAAATAAGCCAAACAGGGAACTTCCCATCACAGGAGGCATCACATTCCAAGTGCAGAAGAATCTGGGAAATCTTCCTTCTAAATGTTTTATGCATCACAACAATCTGGAACCATTTTGATTTGGAAGCAATGCAGAGTGTTGCCCTCTCTCCTCTCTCATAGTGCTTTCCAATTTGTTGCTTTTTTTGCCATGTATTTGTTTGCTCCCTTGGGACAGGTGATCCAGCTTTTCCCTGATGCCTGTGCAGTTCTCAGTGCCTTCCTGAGCTGTGCTTCTGTAAGCAGCTCCTCTTGTCCACCAGGAACTGCCCTCTCTAGGAGAGTAGGGCTTTGCAGCCACTTTTCTCATGCTTCTACTCTTATTTTGTCTTTCTGCTTGTTCTCTCTATTCTTGTTCCTGTCTCATGCTTCCATTATAAAGTTCTATTAAATCCTCATTGAAAATTACTGTGCTGCTATGAAGGTTGGGGAACAAATGCATCTTTCAGCTTGGGTCAGTGCAGGTGAACACAGTATGCACACTGACAGACACCTGCTTCCCTCGGTAAACTGCAGAGGATCTCAGAGATGTGGCTGTGCTGTGTGCTCTCTTAGGGCACTGTCAGAATATTGCCAGGAAATTTATAAAAAGTGAATTTCAGGAGAGAACTGAAGGCCTTTGAGAAGGGTCTGGAGCATCACACCATCAGTGGTATCTGGAGAGAGCTTCACCAATCTCCATTTCTTCTCAAGATCTGGCCCAAGTGTAAGTGCAGGCTATAATTTGCTTTGTAGGTGTAAACCATAAGCTCCCTAAAGCTTGTCATGCTTGTCTAGAATGGCAGTGAGTGGGCATTCATTGAGCCGGCATTAGAATCACAGAATCATTAAAGTTGGAAAAGACCTCTCAGATCAGGTCCAACAATGAACCCACCCCCACCATGCCCACTGACCACATCCCTCAGTGCCACATCTCCATGTTCTTGGATGCTTTCAGGGACAGTGACTGCACTATCTCCCTGGGCAGCCTGTGCCAGTGCCTCACCACTCTTTTGGAGAAGAAATTTTTCCTAATATCTAACCTGAACATCCCCTGGTGCAACTTGAACCCATTACCTTTTATCACTGTTACATGTGAGAAGAGGCCGACCCCCACCTCACCACAACCTCCTTTCAGCGAGCTGTGGAGAGCAATAAGGTCTCCTGCACCTCCTCTTCTCCAGGCTGAACAACCCCAGTTCCCTCAGCCCATCCCCATAAGATTCATGCTCCGGACCACTCACATCTCAGCTGCCCATTTCTGGACATGCTCCAGGGCCTCAGTGTCTTTTTGAGGGGCCAAAAACAAGCACTGTACTCAAGGTACAACCTCCCCAGAGCTGAGTACAGAGGCCCTTTTTCACTTTTCACCCTTGTTTTCTCAATGATAAGCTTAAGCCGTGATGCATTATTTGAAGAAGGATTCTCTTTTGGCTTACAGTCCTGAGTCCTACTTGTTCTTTTTTTCTTTTTTAGCAGGGAATAATCTCAACATCCTCTCGTGTTTGCTGATATTTCAAGGTAAAAGAATTAACTGGAAGTTTTCCCATTTTCCAGATGTAATGATTTCCAAAATAAATATGGGAAGGGTTGTGGGATAATACCATGTGAACATTTTAATACACACAATAATGTCCTCTAGTTTATACAGATCTGGATTTTTTCCAGACATAAACGTTGAAGTCTTTCATAGAATCAAAGAATCATAGAATGACCTGGGCTGAAAAAGACCACAATAATCATCCAGTTTCAACCCCCCTGCTATGTGTAGAGTGGCCAACCACCAGACCAGGCTGTCCAGAGCCACGTAGCAAAGATTACATCAAGAAATCAGGACCGTAGTGTTCACCACACTGATTCTGTAGGCTAAACCAAGAGATGACATACTGAGCTATGTTCATGCTTCTCACTCCAGGAGAATTGTATTTCCGTTGTGTTTTGTCTATGGTGCTGCTGTTCCTGGAAGTGCTGATTTATTCTTTCTGTATCAGGTGACAGAATTGGCTGAAGTGAGCCATGAAGGGCTAAACTGAGCCACTGGGATCACTACAGGAGGAACCAGAGGCAGTGCACATGGACACCACTCCAGCAGCAGCCCAGAATGGGAACTGGGACCCAAAGGAGCAGCTACTTCTCTGCTCATTTCCTGCTTTTCGAGAAAATGCTCTCAGTAGTTTGGAAAGAATGCAGAATAACATCTTGCGTACTCCATGTACCTCAACCTGCTTGAAATCCCTCCAGCTGGGTAATAAAGGCTGTTTTTCTGCCTTCATTCAACCAACATTCCTAAACCTCTGCAACAACCTACTTCTACTGCCAGCCTATGTCACTACTCCATCCAGATGGAAATAAAATCTTTTAGGGTGGAAAAATTGCATGCTACCAAAACATATATCTGCCCATGCTCCCTGCAATCACAGTGCTGTCTCTGGAACTCACATCCCCTTCCTCCCTCTGTGATGTTTCTCACATTCAGCAGTCAGGAAAGACCTGTCCTGTGCAGGTGCCACAACCTTCACCTCTTCGTGCCAGGTGGGGGCAGCAGCCTTCAAACAAGCAGACGGTGCTCACCTTCCTATGGATATGAATGGGAAGGAGAGAAGTAGAGTTCTGGGCCACTTGAATGAGTTCTGAGATAAATCTCTTATAGAGAAGTCTGACCTCAAGCAGGGCAGGTGCAAGCTAGGAGAAGCAACTGGTTGTTGGCTGTGCTCTTCAGCTCTGCAGATGTTACATCTTTCCCAAAGCAGGACAGAAAAGCAGAGAGGAATGAATGATGAAATCCTTTAGTAAAAAATGTTGTTTCTCTGTCCCCTCAGCCATTCCCATCTTATATGAGGTTATTATTGCAACATTATTTATGCTTCAATCACAGGAATTTTTTCATAGTCATGAATAGCTTTGTGAAACTAAGAAAAGACTCAGAAGAAGCCATTTTTTCCCTGTTTGAAGTCCTAACACACTTTAAGTTTCTGTAATAAAACTGTCAGTCCATAAAGTTGGGCTGCTAAGACCATAGATAAAATGTAGTGATTCTAAAGCAATTGAGCTCCTTTGAAAAGCAATGACAGTTTCGAGGAACTCAGCACTATTGAAACGGCTTTCAATTTAAGCCTGAATTTTCCAGAGGAATAATGAACAGTAAATTTCACTGACTTAATTTTCAAATGCCCATGTTGAAATAGCCTTAGGCGTCTGATCACTCCTGCTGCCAGCTCTTAGACATCCAGGAGTGAAATTCAACAGCTTAAGATGCAGATGCTGAATCACTGCATTTTACAGGTCTGTGTTTCCCAGCAAAATGGCCGTGATTTTAGGTTACCATGCAAAGCTGGTTTGATAAACTGCATCGTCCTTAGCAGGACTCTGGATGTCCAGTACTGTGAGCAGTTGCAAATGAAAGAAGCTGTGCTCCCATGATGACTTTTAGCTCTTTAAATCGCAGGATTAAACAGGTAGATGTAGCTTTAGACATCCACATTTGGACCTCCTGTCAAAGACAAAAGTGTTATAAAAATCAATCTGATGGGACAGCACGGCACCTGATCGTCACCAGCACACTTTTAGCTTCTCTCTGTTGGACTGAACTTTAAATGTACATTAAAAAGAATTGAGAAGTTGAAATAAGCCAGTTACAACTCTCAAAAGAACCATTTTTAAACACAGAAGCATTCAGAGAACAAAACCTCCTTTTCAGCACTTCTGGCTCATTCATGGGGGCCACTTCTTACAGTTCTGCTAAATCAGTTGAGAAAGTCACCAAAGCATAGCAGCATCACAGTGTTCCTATGAAAAAAGGCACCAAAGATCCTTGAGAAAACCCTGAACAGCGCAGAAAGCAAGAACAAATGTTTTATATATGTGGTATTGTTAAAACTCCCAAGTGGCATAAATATAATAAACAATAGTGAAGAATGGGATATTTCTGTTTGTTTCCACACACTTGAGATGACCTAACCTACCTCAGGCATGGTTCCACTTTGTGACTTGTGAGTTATTTGATCGTTCCAAACTTGTGAAAATAAACACTATTATTCTACTGTTCTACATTGTGCATTCTTTTGTTCTCTGTAAATAGACTGAGAACTATCAAATGAAAGTAAATCATAATGAAATACAAATCAAAATAAAAGCTGCAGATAAAAGAAAAACAGCACATTCAATAAAAAAGATGTAATAAACACAAAAATAATGAAATGGTAGGCTCATCACTGAGCACAGCTCCATGTGCTCCAGATGACTTTGTCAGCATTTCATGGCTCAGTTCTGATCTCATTTGCAGAGGTCTCCTGCAGAGACTTCTCCTATACTAACTCTAGGATAGACAGAAATCTAGCAGGGGATTGGAACTTGATGATCCTTAGGGTCCCTTCCAACCCAAGCCGTTCTATGATTCAAAGATTCTGTGAATTTCAGGTTAGGATTTTCAAAGAACCCTTGAGAGCTGCCCAGATCGCAACCCAGTTCAGTACGGGCTGGACACCTAACTTGGTGCCTCTTAATAAATTCCTCTTCTAAAGTAACAGGCTTTTTTTCAGGCTGTTCCAATACTGTCTTCCAGAGAGTTTTCAGCATTTTGTGTAGTTGTAAATAAAGGCTGTGGTGTCACCTTGGTATCTGAGTTTCCAGCCAGAAGACATGAACTTGAATATAAATTCTTTCTTAGGAATGGTTCTGCTATTTGAGGTTAGCTAAGCCCCAAAACCCACCCATGCCTCTGTGTAGCAGTAATGTCTGGAAGTCATGTTTTGTAGATCACATTATGTCAAATTTGCGCACATCATGTTGAGAATCACTGCTGTTCACAGGGCTTTCACCACTCGCTGGGAGAGTTCCTTTCACGGCCTGATGTATGTTACTGTCAGAAGGCTTCTCTTGACAGTTTTATAGTGTTTTGTAGCATTGGAAGACACTGAAGATAGGGAGAAGTAAACTTACTGCCAGATTTCTGCATACATGTGCGTATGCATGTGCATAGAGATGAGGTAACTGGCCGAATGTGATATCATTTTACGTCCCTCTCCCACACCAACAAAGCACCTTCCTTTTACATTCTCTTTACTGAATATAAAATATTTGTTCCTTATGTTTTGAGAAGAAGAAATGTGATTTTATACAGATCTCACTTTGTTAAAAACCCGGATGGGGGAAGTCAATATAGCTTTGGATAGAATAATACACTGCCTCTAATAACACAGCACTAAGGACGGTCCATGGGTGAAGTCTCAGTACCACAAAGGAGCATTAACTCAAACCATTTATTGAAGTTCCCTCATACCAGAACTTCAGCAAACTTTACAAAGGTAGTGATAATTATTCAAGAAGTTATACCTCCTCCCAGCACTCCCCCCCCACCAAACTGCATTCATCGCTGTTCTGAAAGAACAACTGTACACAGTAACAGACAGTGAGGGATGATGGGGGAACATTTTAAGTAAACAAAACAGCTCATTTTGAAATACAGTTTTCACTATTGTGTGAAGGAGCTCTAATTGTTAATGGCAAAAAAAATAGACATATAGGTTTATAGCACAGCTCACCAAAAGCTGAAAGTCTCAACATAAATTTCCTTTTATGCCCTGCATCATTTTGTTCTAGCAGAAGGAAAATAGGATCTCCCCCAGGCCACCTCTTACAGTACCACTTTTCAGGAGGACTTTTGAAAGTTCCCTTTTCCTATGTGTCTGTTTCGAAAACAATTTCTTGAAGTGCTGTCTGTTTGCTCTCTGAAATCATGGACTTGTGACCCAGTTCATCCTTTCATAATTCTGAGGCTGGATTGGCATTGCATTGCCCTTTATGTGCAAGTCCCATAGCAAGCCTTAAGGGCATTACAATGACTCTCTAGTTAGCCTGAAATTAAGACATTTCTTAATCCTGCATTGATGCACTGTACCCCCAAGTGATCTTCCATTAATAATCCCTTAGTCTATACTTTCTTATTACAGTTAAGCCTGTGTTAATTTCTCTTTGCTTTACCCAGATACCTGAGCAGCTAAGGAATGAGTCAGACATCCAGTGAGATGACATCCTCACACAGAGGGTGCTGACACACTGGAACAGGTTGCTCAAGGAGGCTGTGGATGCCCCATCCCTGGGGGCATTCAAGGCCAGGCTGGATGTGGCTCTGGGCAGCCTGGTCTGGTGGTTGGCGACCCTGCACATAGCAGGGGGTTGGAACTGGATGAGCATTGTGGTCCTTTTCAACCCAGGCCGTTCTATGATTCTATGATCCTAAGCATTTCTGATAGTCAAGGCAGAGTGGCCTCGATAGCTCTGAACTGGACTCTCAAGCACCTTCTCTTTCTGTCTTGACTACACAGGATTCAACGGCAAACTAACCTTCCAAAAAAACCCCACAGATTAAACTCACCCTTAGTTGCACATCTATCAGGTGCAACTGAATCAGAAGGAAGAGGCAAGGTGTGGGGCAGCACAGAGAGCATCACTGGTCTTTTCAGTGGCTGTCCTCTACCATGATGGTCTTGGTGTTGTGGCAATGCACATCCTCCAGATACTCTCCTGGATGTTTCAGCTGTGGCCTGAAATTTCCATATTTGGGGAATAATTGGCTTTAGATTTTCTTGGGGAACATTTGAGTTGAAGAGCAGTTTTTATAGATTTTTTTTTTTAAATGCACATTTTATAGGAGTTTTATTTTTATATTTTTCATAGTTCCCCAAGGATATATGTACAGTGTCAACAATAATGAATGACATGAACTTTTACCATATGGAACTGAAATATCATGGTATTCTAGTTTTCATGGTAATCTGGCCCCATGGAAGTCTCTCTGAGGAATAAAAATGCCTGAGAAAAACAGAATTCACATAAACTACCATTATTTTCTAACTTCATCTATATGTCTACGGGGAATTAGATGGATTGTCAGCCTCCAAATATAAATAACACTGCCCAGGAACGAAAGATCACTATATCCTCAAATGCTTCATCCAGTAATAACAAAAATAAAATTCTGTGTTTGTTCCATTGATAACAAAACCTCTGTGCAGTGCGAGAATACCAGAGTGATCAGCACTGTAGAAAAGGTTAAGGGTGCGGCTCCTTGACAGTCGAAGCCAATCTAAGCTAATCTGTTTTCTTTTGTGGTCACACCACCCGTCCTCGTCATCACATTCATTTCAATCTGTTCTGTTCGTTTTTTGACAATTAAACCCGCACCTACACTGCCAAGGAGGCAGAGGAACAGCAGAAATGCACGTGGGACGGGGCGGGTCAGGAGGAATGATATTTCAGGTCAGAAAATGGTCACGGAAATGGTGCTTTGGACAAAGAACTGCTGGTGGAGACAGATGTGATTTGTAGGTCTCAATTGCTTTGCACCTACACAGGCAAGGAATACAAGGTAAATATAAAATGGCAGCAAAGCCTTCTGGACAAGAATGAATGCCATTATTTGTGCTCATTTTGTAACTTCTTGAGTGTGTATAACAGCAATCCATACGATTAATTTTCCAACTTGGGTAGAAATTAGGAAATCTGACGAAGACTTGCCAAACCAGTCCTTCTCACAGCCTGGAATGAAGTTTGTGTTTGTCTTTACTCATATAGGAATAGGTAGAGAAAGATGTGAATGTCATATAGAAATGGTTTACAGAAGAGAAGCTCTGTTTGTGTGAAGAGGGATAAACTGTACTGGAAGAGGGAACAGAATAAAGCAAATGCCTCCTGCCACAACATCCATGCTAAAGACTATCTGTATAAACATATCAGCAAAAAAATAACATGCTTGAATGAAATAACTATACCGACTCCCAAACTGGGAGTATACTGTGACCATTTGAAAAGAAAACAGCCAAAAATTAGAAGAAGTACAGGGGAGACTGGGGTTTGGAATTAATTAGCACTCAGACCTATATTTTAGATGGCCCACAAAGTGAAGAACAGTGCCACTGTAAACCAGGCTGTCCCACCAGAGCTGGAAGAGCCACGTATTGCTGCCTGGAGAAACCCCTCTGCCATTTTAGCAGGACCTGAATGCAGCCATGTGTGTAACGTGGTGCCCCTTAGCTGGCATGTGAGCTGCTCTTCGTGAGCGTCCAGACAGCAGGCACTATCAGACAGCCTGCAGCGTTGCATCCATCCGCCCTTTGTGTATTCACAAAACTCTACGAAAGCAGCACAAATCTCACTAACTTCAACTCCTGGCAGATGTCAAATTTCTTTCCCAGGAGGATGACCCCACTGCCTGCCTAACATAACACAAAGACGGGTTTTTTCCAGCCATGCCTTGCAAGTCAATACTTGCTGTTATGTAATTAAACACAGCGTATCGGCTCACACAGGCTTTTTAACGGGAAAAAAAAGAAGACATTTCAAGATTTGTGGCTAGATTCATCAGCATGCTTCACAGCTCTGTGCTGCTCCAGTGACACAGAACAACCTTATGCCTGCAGTAACCGATTCATTACAGCAGCTTGTTGCTGTACTGCCGGGGCAGCGCAGAACAGCTGAAGCGTATCAGCAAATCTGCCTCCTGAGCTCCTCTTCTGAGGGCTGTGTATCTCAGCATAACTTAATTTCTGAAGTCTACTTACATATGAGAAGGACGTACAACCAACCTCGCTTATGGAGAGCAAATATAGCAGAAATGACCTCTGCTGCAGCTAGAGTTAAAGCAAAAGGGGACGCAGAGAGATTTAGTAGGAAAGATGACGCTGCAAAAAGGAAGCTAAGCCATATTTATAAAGCAAGACTCGTGACCTCCCAGAGAAATAGAGCTTGGTCTGTCATTCTCCGCCATGGTGAAATAACGCCTTGTGAACGATCAGTCTATTACTTCCAAAGATTCGGACTAATTTGCTATTGCGAAATGAAATGTCTTCAAACAAGGCAAAAAAGTGCATTCCTCATTCCGGACTGCACTCTGCACTTGCCAAATCTGAAGTTATAAAACCAAGCTGTGTTGGAGTTATCTGAGCATGAAAAAGGCCTCTGAGCCATTTTCTGAGAAGAAAACTATTTATCATTTTCCATAAAATAAAATAAAATAAAAATCTCTTGAGCCAAGATCAAGTGTGGGAAATTTCAGGCCAAAATGCAAATCCCTGAGCATTGCAGACACAAACATGAGCAGCAGTTCAAACTGGAAGCCTGTTTGGGACACAACAGCATGGATTCCAAAGTTCAGGCTGAATTCTGCTTCCCCCATGGGTCAAGACACAGTCAGTGGATTTTCCCAAAAGGAACAGATTTTGTTGAAATTTGACATATTGTATCTCTGCAACACAGCTTTCCTGGACACTTTGGTCAAATCAGAGAATCAGAGAATGGCCTGGGTTGAAAAGGACCACAATGATCATCTAGTTTCAACCCCCCTGCTATGTGCAGGGTCGCCAACCACCAGACCAGGCTGCCCAGAGCTACATCCAGCCTAGCCTGAGGCTGCTCGTGTTGGATGGTTTTGTATTTCAGCATAGTGAAAATGTGGGGGAAAAAAAAAAAAAAAATTGCCAAAATGTTTCTGTAATACCAGATCCTGATGCCAAATAAATGCCGTTAATAAATGTCTGTTTATCTGGCAGAGGACATACTGGCTCCATCACAAAAGGGATGGCCAGCAGGGACAGGGAGGTGATTGTCCCTCTCTACTCTGCTCTCATGAGGCCCCATCTGAAGTACTGCATGCAGGTCTGGGGGTCCCAGTACAGGAAAGGCAGAGAGCTGTTGGAGTGGATCCAGAGGAGGGCCACTAAGATGATCAGAAGACTGAAGGCTCTACTATGAGGACAGGCTGAGGGAGCTGGGCTTGTTTAGCCTGGAGGAAAGAAGGCTGCGGGGTGACCTCACTGCAGCCTTTCAGTACCTAAAGGGAGCCTACAAACAGGAAGGGAGTCAACTCTTTGAAAGGGTTGATAACTGCAGGACAAGGGGAAATGGTTTTAAGTTGAAGAAGGGAAGATTTAGGTTGGATGTTAAGGGGAAGTTCTTTACTATGAGAGTGGTGAGGTGCTGGAACAGCTGCCCAGGGAGGCTGTGGATGCCTCGTCCATCCCTGGAGCCCAGGTTGGATGGGGCCCTGGGCAGCTGGTCTCATATTAAATGGGGAGGTTGGGGGCCCTGCCTGTGGTGGGAGGGTTGGAGCCTCATGATCCTTGAGGTCCCTTCCAACCCATTCTGTGATTTTGATGATTCTATACATGAATCCTTCATTATCAGAGGAAAGAGCTGTGGGCAAACTGTCAAAAATAAAATATCGTACATATTTTTAAGCCAAGAAAGAGAAATACTTGCATGTCAAATACTAGGACACAGATGAAGTGACGTGTATATGAACATCTGTCATCTTAAGAAAGTTATGGCCAGCTTTGCTCTTGGTGCCCCATTATATGGTGTGTGTGATACACCTGTGCCTTCTAGATTCCCACCCACACGAATAACCTGATAAATTCTTGAGCGTTGGCACCCATTTTGATGACAGCTAAACGCAAATGGTTTCTTGAAATGGTGCATATTAAACAGCACTGAAATTTCCTGTTTACAGTGCTGTGAAAACAAAGTCTGAGGTCTCTGTGCAGACTGAGTTAACATTATTGACTTTCAGGGGTCATGGAGCAATTATTGACCCATGCTGGCATGCAAGGAATTACACATGTGAATTCAGATATTGTATGGATGTGTCACAGCTCAGCTGCACAGCAGTACCTTAAAGGAGGCTACAGCCATGTCGAAACAGAGACATGCTTCCTACTTTAAAAAGGTCAGCCTCTCAAAGTGCAGAATAACAAGCATAGTAATAGGAATCAACTGTAAAGATTTTACTAGATTCCAGAAAAGCCATTATGAAAGCAATCTGCCTTGATTTTAAAAAAATTAGCTAAATGTATAGGTGGAAAATTAAAGAAAACACCTTTAGTAACATTGTTAACACTATAAAGTTAAGAAAATACATCAGTGATAAACAGAAGAAAGAAGACATTGAGTTGAATGAAAACAAACACAAAAGGAATTAAAAGAATGTTATAAAATAAGCAAAAAGAGAAAATTAATGGACAGGTGGTCAAAGATGATGGAGTTTTATGTAAACCAAGACAGAGCCACAAATGGTAATGCTATGTTACGAGATGGAAGTTGTGGAACTGTCAATAAACAATGCAAGTGACAAATGCCCAACAGATATTTGGCTGAGTTTTGGAAAACACAGATGAGAAAAGTTAGAGAAAAGTGACTAACAGTGAAAATGCAGTGTTATGGTTTCAGTGGTACTGTAAGGAGATGTCCCAGAACAGCTCTAGGATTTGCACATGTTTAAAAACCTGCCTGTTTTGCTCCCTTGTATCCAAGAACTTTGTCAGAAATCTGTGGGATGGCAACGTCTATTCCCTCTGTGTCCCAGAAGTGGCCATTATCCAGCCACCATTAGACATCTCCAAGTGACCCTGCACTTCTGGGCTAGTTTTTAAAATGAAATTCACCTGACCATAAGTAGACATCTAAATTTGATTAAGGAAATAAAATTCCAGTGTGGTATCCACGCTTGAAAAGAAATGGAGAGGGTGCCTGAGTTTCCTCAGGTCTACCCACAAGCAGCAGTGGCTTTCGGTGTGAGGATGTGGTCTGAAGGGCAGATAGCATCCTTGGATGTACAAGCAGGCTGATCTCGTGTAGGAATGAAGACCTGCACATCTGACATGAGTCTTGTTTCTACTGGAGAGCCAAACCACATTCTAACACCAGCGTTCAGGAAAACACTGATGCCTTGAAAATATTCAGTTTTGAATTTTCCCAGATCTCCTGCTGCAAGAATCTGAGAGATACTGGAGACATTCAGTGATAAAGAAATATACTTGCAGCTTAAGTAAATATGCAAAAAAAAAAACAACATAAAAACTTCAGAGGAAAATTACAACAACAGAAATACAATAACAGACTATAAGTAATATTTTATATTCATGTAATTCCTATAATGTGAGTTGCCCCCTGCAGTTGTTTGCTTGTCTTAGCTGACTCTAAAGGGACAAAAAGTCAGGCTCAAATCTCACTCCTTTAAAATCAAAAGCATGGTTAAAGCTTTGCAAAAGACACCTTGCAGTAAGAAACTTGGGAAGTTCAATCTATTTCTCTTACTCCAAAAAGGCCAAAGGGTGACTTATTTGGTCTGACATTGCTCACGGGGATGATCTTGGGGATGGCTTCTCATTCTGGCCACTAAAGATCCAACAAAAGTCAGAGGCTGGAAGCAGGAGATAACTCAAACTAGAAATCAGATATAATTATTGGCAGCCACAATAAATAGGGAGCTTCTTAGCAGCTGGTTCTTTAATGAAGGCAACCTCAAAATCTTATTTCTTAAAATAAAAATAAAAAAAGATACATTGCGATTCAAATAACAAACAAGGAAATAACACAGCTTGGGCTGTGCAGGACTCAGGCCAGAATCTCACAACTGCCCAGTAATCTAAGAATCTCTACACCAACTATCCCAGAGGTTTCTTACTTTGATCTGTTTCAAGAAGCTATTATGCACATGCTTATCATGGTGACATTTAATCACTGTTAATATATGCACAAGGTTCAAAGCAGTGTAATTACCATTTTTTCCAACTCAGACCTCTGCTATGATTTGCCAGTGTTCTTGTTTTGAAAACTAATTCCCATTATCTAAAAGACTCTCCAAAGCAAACATGGCAGTGTAGCACTTCCTAATATTTATTTTTGTGTTCTCAAAGAAAAAGCAATAGTGGCAATTATTTATTTTTTTTTTGGGGGGGGGGGGGGGGGGGGATGTTTTTTTTCTAAGAGACACTCGTATCTCACTGCAGCTCTAACGTGTCCTCCTATCCCTTCCACTGAGTCAAAGGACTGGGTCCACTGGCAGAGGGTTTTGCTGAACGTGCAGCAGACAAATTGTTTCCTGGGAATTAAGCAAAGCTCTGCTCTGGTCTACCCCACTACAGGCTGGACACGGCTCTGAACAACCTGAGCTAGCTGTGGGTGTCCCTGTTCATTGCAGGGGAGTTGGACTAGATGACCTTTGAGGGTCCATTCCAGATCAAATGATTTTATCTAAGAAAAAGATTCATAGCTTTTAGGGTCACCGTGATCCTCCTCCCTCCAACCTCCTTACCTACAGAATTTAGACCACAACTTCTCCCATGGGAGGCTTTGCTTTCTGCTTTTGTGTGTTAGCCTGTATGGAATGCCCAGTGCCCATTCCCTGTCTGATTTAGATCACGCTTTTGGTGGGGCTGGGAACAGCTCAGTGGACATTTGCAGTACACTGTGTGAGTTCACAGCACTATCACCAGCCCAGATTAGCAGCTGAGTACTGCTAGTCACAGAAGGCAATGCTTATGAGTAAATACAGCCCTCACCAGATACGGGTTGAGCTGCTGACTGTACCGCAGGCTCCTTGCACGACCTTGGGACCACAGCACCGTCTGACCCTGTGTTAAAAAAGTTAAGATAATATAACTTGTCTGCCTCGCAAGGGTTTTATAAGGCCGCAGTCACTTTATTGGAGCTAAGCATCAGGGTGATGAGGGCTATGTAAACACCTGCGCTCATGAAACATCCATTAAAACACTATCTCTAGCACTTGAGGAAGAAGATCAGTCAGCATCGTGGCCATGCACAGATGGACACACAGCTCTGTCACAGAGCACCCACACGTGTCCCACGCTGCATGCACAGAGACATGCACCCAGCCAGAGGTCATTTAACCAGGGCTCTACAAACATTTTCCAAGTGCTTTACAAACAAGTCATTAATAGATGACATATTTTTGCTAAAGGCACAACCAGCTCTACCAGATTTTATTACAGGTGTAAATTATCTGGAAAGCAAGCCTCATTTGTCTGCTCTTAATCCATCCTCCCGCTGACACTCCACAGCTCAATCCCACAGCCCTTTTCTCTCATCATTCACGAGTGCTACATCCATACGTATTTATGAGATTTACACAAATACTGTGAGCTACTGATAGCAGTGCCCTCCTCATTTCTTGCTGCCCACGAAGGAACACCATGACCCAGGTGGACTCCACCACTTCCCTGGGCAGCTTGTTCCAATGCATTACCACTCTTTAGAAGAAGAAATGTTTCCTAATATCCAACCTGAACCTCCTCTGGCACAACTTCAGACCATTCCTGCTCAGCCTATTGCTGTTACCTGTGAGAAGAGGCTAACACCCACCTTGCTGCAACCTCCTGTCAGGGAGTTTTAGAGGGTGATAAGGTGTCCCCTGCGCCTCCCCTTCTCCAGATCAAACAATCCCAGTTCCCTCAGCTGCTCTCCATTAAGGCTTGTGCTCTAGACCAAGCTGCGGGTGCCCCATCTCTAGAAGTGCTCAAGGCCAGGCTGATTGGACCCTGGGCAGCCTGAGCAGGTAAGTGGTAACCAGCCCATGATAGGGGTTGGAACTGCATGGGCTTTAAGGTCCCTTCCAACTCTGCGACTCTATGAAGCGGACACATGAAAGAGGATAGGCAGCACCTCGGAAACTTCCCCGGCTCTGCCCACAGCCTGACGAAGGCTCGGCCTTACCCTGCCCCTGGGCAGCCATGCCCTCGGGGAGCCCTTTCGGCCGGCAGTGCTGAGTGGGAGCGGGCCTCACGCCTCGGCCCGGCGGGGACGCACGGTGGGGACAGCAGGCACTGTGCCCCGGAGCGCGGGAGGCAGCGAACGAGCGCCTGGCGTTGACAGCGAGCGCTGCCGGCGGCGGGGCGCAGCGGGGCGCTTCCCCGGCACCGCGGGGCGCGTCCTCGGGGCGGCGGCGCTGGGAGGAGGAGGCGGCGGCGGCTCGGGGAGGCAACGTCCCTCCCCTGGGCAGTTTCTTGGCGCGGCGGTTTAAGAGCGGGGCCGCCCTCGGCCCCTCCCCGTTGGAGCCGGCCCGTGCGGCACGGCGCGGCCGGGGCCGGAGCCCGCAGCCCGCAGCCCGGGGTCGGGGCAGGTGGGGCCGGGGGTGGCGATGGAGCGGCGCGGCGGCGGGGGCCGAATGCTGGCCTTGCTGCTGGCCGGGCTGCTCGGCGGGGCGCGGGGCTTCGGCGACGAGGAGGAGAGGCGCTGCGACGCCATCCGCATCGCCATGTGCCAGAACCTGGGCTACAATGTCACCAAGATGCCCAACCTGGTGGGCCACGAGCTGCAGGCGGACGCCGAGCTGCAGCTCACCACTTTCACCCCGCTCATCCAGTACGGCTGCTCCAGCCAGCTCCAGGTGAGCGTCGGCCGGGGGGGGTCCGGCAGCGGGAGCTGAGCGCGGCTGTGACACCGGTCGGGGCGCGGGGATGGCGAGGAGCTGCGTGCGAACGCGCGGAAGAGCGGAGAAAGCGGCGATGTTTATTGCTGCAAAAAACAGAAAGTAGTCGACCTTACAGTGAGAGAGGAGCACGCCGTGCTCGTGGGACCGCGAATCGAAGCGGTCGCTAAATGCCTTTTCTTCTGTTTGCTTGCTCCAGGCAGTGCCTCCAACGAATCTATTTGCTTTAAACCTCTTCAGTTTGTTTAGGGTTTGCTTTCTGGATTTTTATTGGGGGGGAGGGAGGTTGTCTGTTTTTTGGGTGTCTATCTGTTTGTTTTTTGTTGTTTGTATTTTTGCTTTCCTAAATTGCAAACCCTGGAGGTTCACATCTGGCTGAGTCCAGCTCACTATATTGAAACTGATGGGCTCAGTTTGCGTGGAGCTCATCCAGGGAGCAAAACGTGTGGGCTCTGCGTGCGGAGAGCATTTGAACTGAAAGAAAGCAGCATTTCTAGGAGTTTTCTTCCTCTGCTTTTATTGTTCTTGGTTTGTTTTGCGCTGCTTCCTGTTGTTTAAGGCAAAGGACCAAAAATTACTGCTAAAAAGGCAAAAACTTGTTATATTTTGACCCGCTGGAATCTCTCCTAACGCGGTCATGATTTTTGTTTCTCTTTCTCGCAGTTCTTCCTTTGTTCGGTCTATGTCCCTATGTGCACGGAGAAGATTAACATCCCCATAGGTCCCTGTGGTGGCATGTGCCTCTCCGTCAAAAGAAGATGTGAACCTGTTTTAAAAGAGTTTGGATTTGCCTGGCCGGACAGCTTGAACTGCAGCAAATTCCCTCCCCAAAATGATCACAACCACATGTGCATGGAGGGCCCGGGAGATGAAGAGGTTCCCCTTCATAGCAAGACATCCTTGCAGCCTGGAGAGGAGTGTCACAGCATGGGATCTAATTCAGATCAGTACATCTGGGTCAAGAGAAACCTGGACTGTGTCCTGAAGTGCGGCTACGACGCTGGGCTCTACAGCAGGTCAGCGAAGGAGTTCACAGATATCTGGATGGCCGTGTGGGCCAGTCTGTGCTTCATATCAACTGCGTTCACAGTCCTGACCTTCCTGATTGATTCATCCAGATTTTCCTACCCAGAGCGCCCAATCATATTTTTGAGCATGTGCTACAATATTTATAGCATTGCTTATATTGTGAGGCTAACTGTGGGCCGGGAAAGGATATCCTGTGATTTTGAAGAGGCAGCAGAACCTGTTCTTATCCAAGAAGGTCTTAAGAACACAGGATGTGCTATAATTTTCTTGCTGATGTACTTTTTCGGGATGGCTAGCTCCATCTGGTGGGTTATTCTGACACTGACGTGGTTTCTGGCTGCAGGACTCAAGTGGGGCCACGAAGCTATAGAAATGCACAGCTCTTATTTCCACATCGCAGCCTGGGCTATCCCTGCAGTGAAGACCATCGTCATTTTGATTATGAGACTGGTAGATGCCGATGAGCTCACTGGCCTGTGCTACGTTGGCAACCAGAACCTGGATGCGCTGACGGGCTTCGTGGTTGCTCCGCTTTTTACCTACCTGGTTATTGGAACTTTATTCATTGCAGCGGGATTGGTGGCCTTATTTAAAATCAGATCCAATCTTCAGAAAGACGGGACTAAAACTGACAAACTGGAGAGGCTGATGGTTAAAATTGGTGTCTTCTCAGTGCTGTACACCGTCCCAGCAACGTGTGTCATTGCCTGTTATTTCTACGAAATCTCCAACTGGGCCGTTTTCCGCTATTCAGCTGACGATTCCAATATGGCAGTGGAGATGCTCAAAATCTTCATGTCCCTCCTGGTGGGCATCACTTCAGGTATGTGGATCTGGTCAGCCAAAACTCTGCACACGTGGCAGAAGTGCTCAAACAGACTGGTGAACTCAGGGAAAGTGAAACGGGAGAAAAGAGCAGACGGTTGGGTGAAACCTGGGAAAGGGAACGAGACTGTGGTGTGAGAAAAGGACAGCGTCCAGATGGTCTGACTGCTCTCACCTGAAGGACTGTTCGTGTGTAAGAACTGCAGCGTAAGTGTTGGGAGCTGAGTGAGGAGATGCTTACAAAACTTGTCTCTTGGGGAAGGAAAAAAAAATGCCTTAAAGAATAAACAAACAAACAAATAATGCTGGAAATATGAAAGCCATAAACTGTGCTGCCCGAAATAGGAAAGCCCAGGGAGGCTTTAAAAGCTGTGAAATATCCGAACACATTATCTTCCTTTTTGTTTTAAAAGCAGGATGCAATATACCAAAGTCTTTAAAAGCAGTGGGATAGTAGGCCGCAGCTGTGGGATACTGTTTTATTTTCATCATCTTGCAGCTGCAGGAGGAAAGGCAGTGCAGGAACAAATTCTGGGCTGAGGCAGGGTGCAGTTACCAGAAGATGGAGCATCCAGGACCTCAGATAGGTGTTCTTTCTGATCATTGTGGAGGAAGTGCTTTCTGAGGGCTGTCTCTGCGCCCTGGGGAATTCCGTCGCCCTCTTAGGCTGCACGAGTCAGCCAAGGATCAGGTCCTCCAACAGAGAATCATGTGAACTTCCCAAGTCTGGGAACTACCCAAAAGAAGGATTTAGTGAGGTATTAGTGAGAATGACTCTTAAGTCATCTGATGGTCTAGTAATAATTTTGGCTTGTTCTTTTCACTGACTGTAACCTGGTCTCATCTGAGTGCTGAGACCCTGCTTTGAGCAGGAATTTGGACCTCTTGAGGTCCCTCCCAACCTGAACCACTCTGTGATTCTGTCAGTGCTTTGTATTTTTAAAAAAGCTTTGCTCAAGGTCGTGGTCAGAAGTAGAGGAACTGTGGGAATCTGGAAACTGTGCGTGCTGTTACACATCAGCTGTCGTCGTCTGCCTGCCTCTGTTCCTATTCCTTCAGGTGCTACTGCTATTTCCAGCTGACTGCTTCGTTTTGCTGAGCTTAATAGCTTTAAATAAAGTCTTATGTTATCGTGCTCCTTCCTACAGGAAAGAGAAAATCGAGTTGAGGGTCTCTTCAGAACAATGTCAGTTTTTCTCAGAGTAAACTTATCTGTCTCTCTGGAGACCCATTGCATGAAGCAATTAAGTCTTAATATATTTCGTTCAGCGTGATGGTATCTCTGCAGACGCCAGTCTGAAGGAAGTGAAACGTTGAGTTTCTTGGCAACCTCATGTTCACACAGATCAGTTGTATAATTATGTGTGTCAGTTACAATTAAAAGAACATTCTCAGTCCGTGACATCGCAGTGCAGCTGATTGCCTCAGAACGACGCTCCAGTTGCTCACTGACAGCTATGGAGTGGTTTTATTTTATTTTATTTTGTATAGATGCGTACAGAATGTGTGCAGGCATTCAGTCCTCAGGAATGACAGAGACGTTGTCAGTTTTTGGAAATGGATCCAAGAGAAGAGATCCAACTTCTTTACAGTTAATGTTGTTTCACAGCAACTGCCAAGTTTAATTGAGGAGGTACTGGCTTGAGCTCACAGGGAGCTTGAACCTTGTGTCTGGGACTTGTTTGGCTGTTAAGGAAGGTGATGCAAACAGTAACCCATAAATATTTAAGAGAATGCTGTTTCAGTGCTCTGTCCCTCTGAAGGACCTTCAGTTCTGAGTACTCCAAATTTTTGCTTTGTGTGTGTGGATCCTGCTTAGCTGCTGGGCATCCCCCAGTGCCCTGACTGCTGTGATCTTCAAGGGCAGCTGAGAGCACGCGTTTGCCCTCACTTTTCCTACAGGTGCCCATGTGCTGCTTCCCAAACCATGGTTCATTCCTACTCTGTCCCAGCAGCGTGTATTGTTTCAATGGCAGTGTTGAAACATGTGCTAGAGCATATTAAAAAAAAAAAAAAGACACTGAAAAAACAAACCAACCCTAATTGCAGTCTTTGTGGTTGGGCTCCCTCTCCAGCAGAACTAGTGACAACTTGACACATTCTGCTCAATGTGCAGCCATTGTCTCGGCCAGCACTGCATACCATCTGTGCCTTTTGATCCTCTCTCTGAATTCTCTCACCATTAGTGTTGTGTTTGGATCTGGTTATTCCTCTGTGGGCAAGGAGTTCTGCAAGTCGGAAATCTTCAGATGGCTCAGCCTCTCCACCACGTGCTCTATCTCCCATCGCAGCAAGGGATGTGTGATCAGCAGCTGTATTTTAACTTGCAAAGGGTGAAGACACAGTATGAGCCTTGTCTTGCAGCGTCAGGCTGTGCCAAGGTGTCACATTCACTCAAGCATCCTTCAATCTGAAGCGGTTTGGATAGTTTCCTGGCTGACATGACTCCTGTTTGACCTGACTGATCCAATAAACAGCATTTTTAACTGTGTTGTGTACACAGAAGTGGATGTTAAGTAGTACTTCTGTTATCACATCCCTGCCTGTGACCCTGTG